TATATGTATATATATATATATATATACAGTATACGTACAGCATACAGCTATTACGTCTAGCTTGTTTTTCATTCATCTGTGTAGGCTCCGGTTTCGTTCTTCGATGCGACACCTATTGGCAGAATCGTGAACCGATTCTCGTCGGACGTGTACTCGGTCGACGACTCTCTGCCGTTCATCATGAACATCTTGCTGGCACAGCTGTATGGCCTTGCCGGCACTATCTCCATTACCTGCTATGGTCTGCCCTGGTTCTCGTTGCTGCTGCTACCACTCGCCGCTATCTACTACCATATACAGGTGAGCGTGCCTGTATAAAGCTGCGTTTACACAATGGAAAAGACGGTGAGATGATAAGTTTTTCAATGTTCTATCAACCTTTCTATCAGATGTTTAAAGCTTTTACGTTATCGACCGCGAGTCGGCACACGTTTCAACATTTGACCCGCGGTGTGCACGCAGGGCGACGTGGATATGCATTTTTGCACGTATTAATTTGCGCCAGTGTGGCGTCGATAGCAAAAATGGGCTCTGCCCCTGGGTGGAGGGACACACCCACTGATTGCTATTATCGGAGTAGCTGAGTGGCAAAAACTTGATCAACTCGCTAACCAAAGGTTGAGAAAATAGAACATGTTTTAATCTTTAAGTTTGTTGAGCGCTCAAATTTTACATTTACACTGCCGAATTTCGGTGGATTAGTTGAAAGGTTTATCAGCTTGGCAACATTTCAACAAAAAGTTGATAGTGTAAACCCAGCATAAGTACAGCTCGTGCTGGTATACTGTTTCAAACAGACGATGATCGATCGTGTATTGCACCCACAGCTTCTGATAGTTTATAGTAACAAAGATGTGAGTGTGTATTATATACACAGCTTGCGATGGTTTGCTGTTACAAATAAGTGAGTGCATATTATAACTGCAGCTTCTGATAGGTTTCTGTTATCTCATAAACGAATGTATATCCCTATATACAAATATGTACATAATTACATGCAGTCTAGGTGCTTTTAAGTAAGTATTTCTAAGAGTTGTGATTGAGTCGAAGGCAGGATTTATTTAGTAACTGAAAATTGGTTGTGAGAAGTAGACCTGTAAAGAGGTTTCATATTCTATTTTCAACATGGTTAAAATTTACATATGTAGTCATTAACTGTACTAACAAATCATTGTGGCTGTTTGAAAAAACTAATCATGTTTTACTTCACCTGATGGATGTTCCAGTTTGTGTAATAGACATTTCAACTCACAAAAGTGGCAATGTAATGTAGTGATGTTTGATTATCTATTATTATACAATCACAATTAGCAAAATGGCTTCTAGCATGCAAATTTGTATAAACCGAAACACTGAACTATAGCTGCGTTCACACGTATACACGGCTTAGCTGGTACCGTACTTAGTTGGTGCTAAGTCCGGAAAAACTGCGTTCACACGAGATACACGAGATTCGAGGCTTAGCTAGCTCGGTATAATATAGACTGGTACCCGGTCGACAGTTCCACACGCTACCCTAACGTCGTGCAGCGAACGGGTAGCAGTCTAGGTTAGAGCGCTACAGTTTCGCAATTCACACGAACAATGCGTTCACAATGCGCACACGACAAACAATACGCGGCCAGCGTGGTGCCGAATATACGCGGCTTAGTTGGCGCGGAATATGATTCCGCGCTTCGCAAGCCGGAGCATTCGCGGCTAAGCAAGCCGTGTATATTTTAGCGTGTGAACGCAACTTTTCTCCTCGTGTGAACGCAGCTATAGTCACCTATAAAAATTCCATTTTTGCAGAGCCATATATGTTTCAAGGGTTACTTAGGCTGAGAGGGTCTATGTCCCCCAGGGTACTGCCGGAACGTACCCTGGTACTATCTAATATGCCGGACCGTACCTCGCCTACTCCACTAATGAGTCTAGGGAGTTGCCTACGCCTACTCCATAACCCTAACCCTAACCCTAACCCTAACTCGAACCCTAACCCTAACCCTAACCATATCAGATAGTTACCAGGGTACGTTCCAGTATACCGGACCGTACCCAGGGTACGTTTCGGCAGTACCCATGGAGACATATAGACCCTATCAGCGTTACTTAGGCACTGTATTTATGCAAAAAATGACAGTTTTGTTTATTCACAAATTATCCATTCTTAAATTAACTACGGCACGAATTTTCTATGGTGTATATTTGTAAAATGTTTGTTGCCATTTTGTACATTAAAAGTAAGTACTAACGGGATTAAATGTATCGTCAAATTCTTACCTGATGAGATTGTTTCTCAACTAGTTAAAAATGCAAAAAACCTGGACGATTTGATATTATGATCCTGACATTAATTGCTTGCTATGGGCTATGTATGAGTCATGAGTGTATGTTTACATCGAACAATATAGTAAAATATAGGAAGTATAATGCAGCAATTTAACCATAAAAATTGAACAGAATTACTTGCATTTTGTGAAGAAGTGGAAATATTTTTTTTACTTTGACTATTTATGGTGACATAATCACTTTAAAGATGTAGGCCTAGATGTTAAATAATTACCTAATTACATAACAAAGTATAAACAAAACCTACAGCTAGCTGCCCTGCTTCTGTTGATTGGATATTATTTAACACAATAAATATCTTTAAGGATATGGTGCTTCATGGCATGTAGCTCTAATTTCCATTCTAAAACAGTTATGCCTTATATATATATATATAGCAGCTGCTACTGTATTAGAGCATTTGTGATTGTATGTAAGTTGTCTAATGCAAACTTTATTTTGCAGAAATACTACAGACACACATCTCGAGAGCTGAAGCGGTTGGCGAGTGTAACTTTGTCCCCAGTATATGCACACTTCTCTGAAACTCTGACTGGCCTTGCCTCAATACGAGCATTTCGAGCCACAGCTAGGTTTGTAGATGTATTGACATAGTTAAAAGCGAATTTATAAACTGCATGTATCCAATGATTAAATTTTGATATAGCATAATATTTAATTGGCACACGAAAATTATATGTCTTCTGGAAAATTCTGTGTGTTAGATAACATATATATGTGTATGAAATAATAGGTGGGGATTTTGTAGTAAAGACTGGACTGTCACTTATTATATACATTATACACTAGAGAGGAGTATAGCACCTATTATATGCTTCTGCATTATGTAATTTCTGTTTCTATAGGTTTATGCAAGAAAATCAGAATACACTAGAGATAAACCAAAAAGCCAACTTTGCAGGGCAGGTAGCATCACAGTGGCTAAATGTTCGTCTGCAACTGCTTGGTGTTGTTATGGTCACTGGTGTAGCATTCATAACAGTTTTGGAGCACCATTATCAATCTGTTAACACGGGTAAGTTGAACAGCCAAACAAAACGTGTGTGCATGCATCTTCAAACCTAATGTTTAGTGAAGCAGAACTTGGTAAAACATGGGACTCAAATCTACAGGACGTATGACAAAAAGTAACTCAGTGGTATTACAGTATTACTGACTACTTTGTTAGGTGTGATTCACTATCCTCTTCTTTGGTTTCTCGACTTTTGATGAACAGATTTGCATATACTTGCATATATTAGAGCTGATTACTAATATAATAATTATTAGTTTAAATTTAATATATCTAAAATACACTAATATCATAGCAATTTCCTCACCAGGTGTAATAATAATCGTGCTGTTGTCGTTACAGGTCTAGTTGGGTTGGCGATATCCTACGCTCTCTCTGTAACAAATCTCTTGAGCGGAGTAATCAGTTCATTCACAGAGACTGAGAAGCAGATGGTGAGCGTTGAGAGAGCTCAGCAGTACATAGCTGATATCGCGAGTGAGAGACACGAGGGTCTTCTACTGGTAGGTATACTAGAAAATTTGCTGTCTGTATATATCCTTTCGACGAAAGCTGAAAGTTCAGGTTTAGTAAGGTTTGGTAAAATTACCTCTTAGTAAACTTTACCAACCACTGTAGAACTCATATCACTAAGTAAGGTGCAGGAAATGTGTTTATTCTCATGTTGGATAGCATACATAATATATTATTCATTTACTATTAAACTGATGTAAAAAAGTATAATAAAGTAAAAGTAAAAAAGCAAAGTAGTATAAGTATAACAAGTAAAAGTAGTAATATATATATATATATATATATAACCCCGTTTCGTCATAAACTTACTATATGAAATAAGCCATGTACGTATCCCATTTGTCTCGGCATGCAGGTTTCTGAAAGCTGGCCATCAGAAGGCGTCGTCAAGTTTCAAAACGTGCGTATGGCATACAAGAAAAATCTGCCCGCCGCCTTGGATGGAGTATCGTTTGAAACGCGTGCCGGAGAGAAGCTGGGCATAGTCGGTCGGACGGGCTCGGGCAAGTCGAGTCTGTTTCTTGCACTGTTTCGAATGGTGGAGTTACAAAGTGGCAGCATCACTGTTGATGGAGTGCTCACAAAACTTCTTAGCTTGAAAGAACTGAGGTGGGTGCCATGTTTGCTTAAGCGTTTTAGATTTAAAAACTGCAAACACAGGTCGTGAATATCTATATCGACTGTTCTACTGTGTACTGCAGTGATGATGGTAAAGGTTATGCTACCCTAATGCAAATGCTTTTGTGTGTAAGTACTAACTTAATAGTAGTGAGTTAATAGCTAGTTCATTATTTCATTCTTTTCGCAGGTCAAAGTTGGCAATCATTCCTCAGGATCCCTTCTTGTTCAGTGGAACAGTACGAGAAAACCTTGATCCAACTGAACAGGTGAATGCAACATGCTTTCAATAGCTATATCATCTATACTTTTTAGGTTTTCTCTCGCATTTTATTTTGTGAGGCGCACAGCATATAATAAATTCATATCTATGATATCAGATACATAAAAAGGGTTCTTACCCCCAGATAATTACCCCCCCCCCTCGGACAATTCCCCTATATGCCATTCACCTCGGACGATTATCTCCCCCCCCCAGACAATCAACTCCTGGACAATTACCTGCAAACATTTACCTCCAAGAAAATTACCCCCTGGATGATTGCCCAATTTTATTTACTCCTCCCCCAAACAGTCACTGGCTGGACAATCACTTATGGGCAATTACGGCCATACTGTATACCTATATAATGTGGTAGCTTCGGAAGGAGACTCAAGCACTAAAGACATTAATATTTCATTTACAGCCTATACATACAGGCTGCAGGCAGTTATACGAAATATTTTTAATCATTTTGTGCACTAACGAATAATGCACTGCCTGACTTTGATGAGTCCTGAAGACAAACTTGCACCAAAGCAGCCTCATCCAGGGCCGGTGAGATGTCACGTGTGTAAACAGGCTGCTGACCCTTCCTATGGCTCTTTGAAGTTTTCTACTCCTAACGTCATGTTGGTGTTTGAAAAAATGTGCAGGATTTGGAGCATTTCGAATAACGGGTGCTCAATCTGTGTTAGATCTAAGAGATTCTTATATGTAGGGATATCTTAGATATGATTAATCTGGAATCTATATGAGAATAAAAGAATTTTATTTAGGATTAGTGAAATCAAGGTGTGTGTGTGTGTGCGTGCGTGCGTGCGTGCGTGCGTGCGTGCGTGCGTGCGTGCGTGCGTGCGTGTGTAAACGAGGAGAACATGCCGCTGTATCTAAGTCGCTCACGTAGCGTTTTAATATAGTTTGCAGGAGACCAGCTCTGGGAGGTGCTAGACGCTTGTCATCTTGCTGACAAAGTGCACCACATGGGAGGTTTAGAGTCGGAGGTATCTGAGCGTGGCAAGCACTTCTCTGTTGGACAACGCCAACTGATGTGTTTAGCCAGAGCTCTACTTACTGGTGCTAAGGTGAAGCCTGTTGCAAGATTGGCTATTTAAAAGTTAAATGGGTAGACGGACACGGCACATATCGACTGGCAGGCAGGCAATTGATTCAGTGGGTGGCTGGGTGATCAGATAAGTGGATGGATGGATAGGTGGGTGGATGGCTAGAATTATTGTATAGATGGAGAGATGATGGGTCAAAAGATTGATGGGATGGGATGGGAGAAAATGGGATGAGATGGAATGAGTTATTAAATCAAAATGGTGGACGGATGGGTAGCTTTATAGAAACCAACCAATAACAACATAAAATTCAACATCAGCGCTTGCAACATGGTAACGTGTTTCTGTAAGACACCGCTTTCAATTCAATTCGCTTCAAATTACTTTATTTACACTAATGAATTACATTTTGGAGGTAACCTATTAGTTAAACAAGTTAATAGACAATGCTGATGAAATTAAAGCAAATTAAACTAAATAAATAGAAGAGATGAAAGATAGAATAGAAGGCGAAATGACAATTCAGTCTTCCAGTCCGCCACTCCAGTAGATTACGAAATAATAACATGATGACAAAAATACAAGATAAGGAATATTATATAATATGTGATCGTGTGATCAATATGTGATATGTTATATGATATAAGGTATAATTATGATATAATATCAGGAGTCTATCAATAGTCTATTGATAGACTCCTGATAATATGATATTTCATCCGTGAAATAAAACACATCTAACATTGTCGCGCAGGTTTTATGCATTGATGAGGCCACTGCCAGTGTTGACTTTGAGACTGACCAGCTTATTCAGCAGACGATTCGAGCCATGTTTGCTGACTCAACTGTGATGACCATTGCCCATCGCATCAACACTGTAGAGGACAGTGACCGTGTGCTTGTCATGAGCGGTGGTAAAGTGGTAGAACTTGCAACTCCTGCAGACCTGCTCAAGAATAAACAGTCACATTTCTATAGCCTAGTGCATGGCAAGTTGTAACTAGAAATGCTGGTCAGGCATGTGCATAGGTGGCATTTGTTTCGCGGCAATTATATCGCGATATGGCAATTTAGTTACCATCTTAACTACTATGTAACGAATTTCACGACAGGTGCTACCTGCAATCATTGTACACATCCTTCAACGCGTGTTCAAAGCAACATGAGAAGAAAGCCATGGGTGGTGCTTGCAGGCTGAGTTAAATTAATCCTGATGCTATTTATTTATTTTCGAAATGACTACTCTTCTTCGTATAGTATCTTTGCACAATCCTTCATCTTATATTTCAGTATTAGAGCACGTTTTACTACTATAACATAATGCCTGCTTACTTCCTGGACGGTAGCGAGGTATATAATATAACATGTAACATCAACCTTTTGACATGTATAACCCTGTTCTATAACGAATGGAGTCTTGCAGAAATTGCTAGTTTTAAGATTCTACGCATATATATATATATACATATACATATATATATATATATATATATATATATATATATATATATACAGTATAC